GAAACGAACCTTTCTGCCAGGTTTCAACTGTCTCCCAAGGATTAATTTTGTTAAAGCTTCCCCTTAAAACATCAAAAGGCACTAAAAAATGTTACCAGTGACAGATTGGCAAAATGTTGTTTAAAAATATATACTCTCTCAGATTAGGTAAAATTTCTCCTGTTCCATCCCTACGTATCTATCAGAAAAGTATTGCCTCTATTATTTTTCCTACTATTAAAAATAAAAATTGTCCCTTGATCAATATGCTCAATAAACAAATGAACAGAGTAAAATAACTTCAAATACTAACTATAATATTATATATGAAATCAAGACAATAAAAATAAAAGTTAATAAAAAACTGACTAGATGCTTTTGTTCACAACATACATATGCTTAGCAGAATTTTCATCTTTCTTATTTGCTTCAGTAATGATAAATAGAGTGTCTAAAAATGTATTTTACTGACAGGCCCTTTTCAGATACCTGTATAAAAATATGTAAAAAGCTGGATTAAATATGGGTTTTTACTTGGTTTGAGGATAAAACTTGTGGTTTCCCTTGCAAACAGGCTTTAAGCAATACCAGCTATTTCCAATATGTTTGGGGTTTGATTAGGATAAAAAGCACAACAGCAGAAGGTATTTTTACACTGCCATGGTGTTTTAAGCTCCTTTCTGCAATCAGCCTAGTGTCCAATATTAGAAAACCAAAGCAAGTTGTCCAATATTAGAAAACCAAAGCTAGTCACTGATTTCCTGTATAAAACATGATCTACTAGTCAAAAGCTGCCCCTTCCAGTGGCCAAATACGAAGTTAGATGTCAGTGCTCTGGTTTGGGCACTTAAATACTGAACATGCTATCTGAGGTAGACCAAAAATAAAAATAATGTCACATGTTAAAAGATGAATAGAAGAATTCATTCCCCTCTCGTCCTCCAGGGAGCTCCATCAGGCTTTGGAGTCCTCCTGCACGCAGAGCTGTGAGATGGTCTTCTTGATACGCAGCGCCGTCAGCCGTGCGGCACTGTTGGCATACCAGCATTCACGCATTATCCTGCCCATCACTCGCAGCGCCTGCAAGCCGGAAGTTAAAAGAACAGGTCAAGAATAAAACCATCACCTCCAGCTTTTAATTTTTAAGTGCAGTACTGGGAGATAAAATATAGCTCTCCAAAACAGTAATACAACAGCAGTATCATCGATTAAGACCTATATTTGAGAGTTCAGCACTTGGTGCAAAGATAGTTTGCTCTGTATTGATCTGGGAGCTGAAAAAGAGCTAGACATCTGAAACACATTTACATTCAGAAGAGGCTGGACATCGAGTTCCCTTTGTCTCACTGAAAAATTCTACCTTAATTTAAATATGCTTTGTAATAAACAGGAAAACTGCTTTTACCTCACAGCTTTGCCACTGGTTTGGAATGTTTGGTCTGAGCTTCTGCTCACAAACTACCCTTCTCATATCTTCTATTGAAGGATCAGAAGGCACGACATCATAGTAAGGCAGCTGGTATTCCTCAGTGATTCCTAGGAAAGATTTATTGTGCAGGTAACACAAAATCCAAAGTGGCTGCTCCAGAATAAATTTTAATTGTTTTTACAGGCAATGGGAGAGAACAGAGGAATGTTTGGGACCACACTGAACAACTGCTCCATGACAGACTTCTACTACCACATATTGCAAAGATAATTGAGAGTGCTTTTGTTTTATTAAAGATAAAAGTAGTCTGGACTGCAAAATGAGTTGTGTTCAGTTCTGGGGTCCCCAACATAAGAAGGACGTGGAGCTGTTGGAGCAGGTCCAGAGGAGGCCATGAAGATGCTCCAAGGGATAGTGCACCTCTCCTATGGAAACAGGCTGAGAGAGCTGGGCTTGTTCAGTCTGGAGAAGAGAAGGCTCTGGGAAGACCTTAGAGCAGCTGCCAGTGCCTAAAGGGGCCAAGAAGAAATCTGGACAAGGACTTTTTACAAGAGCAGGTAGGGATAAGACAAGGGGGAATGACTTTAAACTGACGAAGGGTAGATTTAGATTAGATATAAGGAAAAAGTTTTTCCCTGTGAGGGTGGTGAGGCACTGGCACAAGGAAGCTGTTGCTGCCCCATCCCTGGCAGCGTTCAAGGCCAGGTTGGACAGGGCTTTGAGCAACCCGGCCTAGTGGAAAGTGTTCCTGCCCATGGCAAGGGGGTTGGAACTGGATGATCGTTAATGTCCCTTCCAACCCAAATCATTCTAGGATTCTATGAAAAGGCTAGAAACCTCACCTCCAACAGAGCACCTTCGGGCTATCTCCCAGTATACTAGCCCAAGAGAGTATATATCTGCACGCTTGAAGGACTCGAAGATGTTCATGTTCATCACGTCATCAAGTATCTCAGGAGCCATATACCTTTAAAGCACACAAAGGTCAATTTGCTAGAGCGTGTACATACAAATGACTGCAGCTGCACTGCTGCATGCTGGAGCCAGGGAGCAGCTGGTCCTACTGGGAAAAAGCGAAAAGAGAAACTCATTTTGATAGCAATTCTGAGTGAAAGAGAGAGAGTTGGCCTGGCTGATAAGTGTAACGCTGAGAAAGTCTGAGACAGTGCTTCACATTGTGCAGTGCAAGTGCTTGTTATGAACTAAGCCATCTGAAACCCCAGGGACAGACAGGGATGGGCTACCAGTAGAAACCAAGCATGTCCTCTGTTAAAGGCACTGGTCTCCAGCTCTGCTCTGCTGTTTGCCTTTCACCTTCCACTACCAACAGCTATGCTGGTGGAGGCAGGCAGATCAGAACAGCACTACAGCTGCCTACACCTGCACACATCGCCATGACTCCTCATGGCACTGGGCACAATGCCCTTCATGGGCCCAACAGCACATGGGGTGACACTCGACATCCAAGCTGCAGAGCTGCATTCCATGTGGGATGCTGAGCTCCATCCAAAGCCAAGGCTGGCAACTGCCATCCGCTCCCACCCAGCAGGGACAGAGGGCTTTGGTCTGTTGCCAACACTCAACGTGCCAAAAGCAGAGGGAGAAGTCACCAACGGAGGAAAGGGCCAAGGGGCACAGAGGAGCTGTCCCAGCAGTCGGCAGTCCACCTTCACCCACCTCCTGGTCCCAACCCGGGGGTTCTGGGGAATGTCGATGGTGTTCAGCACTGAGTCGTGCTTCACTGCCAGGCCCAGGTCTGCGATGGCGCAGCTTTCATTCCTCTTCACCAGGATGTTTTTAGATTTCAGATCTCGGTGAGCGATTGCTGGCTTGCCTGTTCACAGAAAGAGAAAGCACTGTCAATTTTGATAATAGCACGAATTTCGATATAATGAGCAAGGAAGAAAAACCAGTTTTATTCAACTTTGTTACTATGCCCTGTAAAAAACCATTGAAACCTATTTTGTACCATGTCCATCTTTGCTAAATGCCATCAATTTAAAAAAAAAAAAAAAAAAAAAAGAAAAAAAAAGAAAGCCCTCGAGGACATTTTTGTTCCAGTATCTGTATTTCAAGAATAAAACACAAAAAGAGAAAGCGTTAAGTTTACCCTCCAAATTAATTCAGAAGATCCTTCACTGGCACTCCCTTTTAGCACAGCTGCTCCCACAGGAACCCACTTAAAGATGTGGAAGGAGGAGCAGACAAAGAAAGTGGGAAGATGATATTCCTATTCTCTGTTGATACTGTACCATATTCACTTACGCTAATACTGTGCCTTGCAGTTTAACAATTTGGAACATGCTTTCCTACACCACATAACCCATAAGCCTTTTTGCAAATACTACTGAAGCTCCTTGAAATTCTTGAAGTACAAGTGGAGAGGAAGCACTTGCCTTGTGTGCCGACGATCTCCATGTGGAGGTGAGCCAGGCCACTGGCCACCGACAGTGCCAGTTTCACCATGCCCTCCACTGTCACCGTGCCTCTGTTCAGGTAGTCGAACAGGGACCCTTGCTCGTGGTACTCAGAGACAAGCCAGAGCTGCGTCCATGTCCCGTTATCTACCCAGAGGAAGCAAGATTATTCAGCTTTATTAAAAAGAAGCAGCCAGGAAAAGCCTTTCCTGTTTCGTGGCCAGCTCAGGCATGCAAATGAACAAGTTTTCTGGTCACACCACCAGGAAGGAGCTCAGGAGAGCTGTGAGGTTCAAAGTGGTGTTTCAGATGGGAGTGGGGGCAGCAAAAGCAATTCTGAGAGCGACACCTGGGATTTCCTGCACGACTCGCAGCATACCCTTGTTATCAGCAGCAATGAAGCCCAGGATGTTCTCATGTCGCAGCATAACCGTCTGATAAATTTCTGCCTCGCGGAACCAGGATCGTTCATCTCTGGAGGAGAAGATTTTCACAGCTACATCTTCCCCACACCATTTTCCATGCCAGACCTCACCAAATCGGCCTTTTCCCACGATTTCCTGCAGGACAATAGTCCTCGCAATGGTTCTTTGTACAAGCAGAGGTAAACCTATTTTAAAAAAAGACATGAGTATTTGTGACATAGCAGTGATCTTTAAATCCTGAAGTTGGACATTTTCCAGTAAGCTGTACTCAGGACTTTGCTTTCAGAGAGTACCAAGGGAAAATCCTCTCCCAAACAACAATCTCCCAAAATGACACTTTTGAATGTTACTTGCCAGATGAGTGCACATTTTACCTGTCACTAGGTACAACAGTGTCACTTTTGAAGCAAGCTGAAGTGTGCCCTCCATGCCACCAGCACCATGCAGACTGAAGACCAGAGCATGGCTTTGGGTGTGCCAAGACCTGAGCTACTTAATTGGGTTTGACATGGACTACTGCTTGTTTTGCAGTCAATTTGTTGATCTGCTCTGGGTGAAATTTTCAAAAAGAAAAATAAATTATCATGGCAGCTTCATTTTGTTTTGCTAGCCATAACCCCCTTCCTCATTTGATGTGATACTGTGTTTGGGACTTAAACTAAATGGTGCGGGATTTTTTTTTTTTTTTTTGTTAATTAAAGCAACCTTGCTTTTAACAACAAGATAACGAGCAAGAGAAATATAGTTTGAAGACCAGCTTACTCAATTTTCCCTCCAGTTTCTCCAGCAGAGCCCTCGCCCTGCAGCCAGTACTGCCTTCACATACTGCCTGTCCTGGCTGCCTGTGGCCAACCCCGGATTGGCTCTGGGCAGATAGGAGCTAACTCACTTTTTGGCTGAAATCAGAACAAACTGCACTAGCACGCATGAGATTCCATCTGCCTCCGCCATGGCTCAGTGCAAATAAAGCCCTTTTATTAGCTCAGGGATGCTGATTGATAAACAGTTAAAACTTCAGGATAAATAAAGCCGAAACCTACTCATTATATCTGTGAAAAAACATTAGGGAAGTATAATAAATTAATCTTGAAAGGTATGCAGTTAAGGGAAAATGAAGTAAATCAAATTAAGCACGATTTACAACTTTTCCACTTATAAATACAAGTCAGCATGATTTACATATTTTTCAAGTAAATAAAATTTCTAGTTAGAGAAAGCTGGGCAGTGTACACCAGACGTGCCACCACCCTGATGAGCTAGAATTTTTGAATTCCCACCTCATTTTTGCACTTCTTTGATTTAACAAGTTCTCAGTAGCAATGGAGGCATCACAATAGATAGGATATCAGAAAAGGGGAAAATATTTAAAAGGTTGGTGCTCTGCTCAAAATAAGAATTTGGAGGAATGTTATTTTGGTACTGATATGGCATCCTGGCTCATTAAGTTAAATTTAGTACCTTCTATCAGCCATGCCGTATCAGCAGAAATGTTTTGTTTTGCACTTGAAACTGACTTCTGAATTAACTTTGTAAACTTTTCCATTCAAACAAAGAATCACACTTTTGTAATTTGACAGAAAAAGAGCAAACAAAGCCCTGTTGCTGCTGTAAGGCGTGGTCAAGCATATTGGCACAAAACCTGTCTTGGCATAAAACTTGTCACTGGTGTAAGAGCTTCTGAGGTAAGACCCCTACCAGCAGGCACCCTCTGCACACCAGCAGGCAACATTCTTCACCTCCCTACAAGCAAGGTGGCACATGTGCCTTTGGTTTAAGCATCAAGAATACTTGCTCTTTAAGTTGGCAGTGAAGCAAAGGCAGCTGCAGCGAAGGTGACAGGCAGGGCAGCTGGGTAGACCCCACATACCAGAGCCGGAGCCAGAGGTCGTCATATCGTAGATGAGATCCTTCAGCGTCTTTCCAGAGTTCACCAGGTTGCACTCAGAGAGGGGCTCCTCCACATTGGGCTGCTTCACCCTGCCATGGGCACAGCGCCGGCTCTGGCAGGTACACGCCACCAGCACCGCCGCGAGGGACAGGATGCAGACTGGCACCGCCACTGTCACTGCCAGCACCACCGGTCCCGCGCTGGCTCTGCTGGGAGACTCCGACGCTTCAGGAAGACACAAGGGAAAATAGGGGAAAAAGACAGTAAGTGAAGGGCTGTGAAGCAATGACATATTAAGACTTAATGATTTCCCATAGTCGTCATGACCAGGACCAGCAGCAGTGAGACAGACCACATTTCTCTAAGTTCTGGATTCTTTCCCCCCACACTTTTTTGCAGGT